TGTCTGTCTGTCTGTCTGTCTGTCTGTCTGTCTGTCTGTCTGTCTGTCTGTCTGTTCATCTGTTTGTGATGAACTCTGTTTCTCCCTTTGTCTTTACAGATAGTTAAATCTAAACATACACTTCCATTTCTATATCATGCTGAACAAGTGAATTGGCCAGAATCCTGAAATGAAATAAAATAATATGTTCAGGAGCCCAATGCTTAGCTCTGTCCTTTCGGAATAAACAAAAAGTAACATGAAATGTACAAAGTCTTTGGGGCACTAGAAATCAACACACAGACGACTGAATTTTACTAGGTACAAAAAAGACCTGAAAATTAAGAAATAAACGAAATAGTTCACTGCACATCGGGGGAAAAGGGAAGGGCGAAAGATAATATAAAATTGGCAAAATGAGAATCAAGATAATATATAGACAGTAAAATAAACAAATAAGTAAATGAACGATGAATTTTGACATGCAATCGCTATGATTATTCATTTGACGAAAATATGTTCGACTACTATAGCCGTTCGAGTGTGCCCATGGTAATGTCTTTGAGCCTAATAAAATTCGATAGCATCAAACCAAGAAATGATTTATGTCATACTGAAAGAGAAACAACGCGAAATAAAACGGCTACAGAAAAACAGTATCACAACGAGCAGCGAATTAAGTAATGACAAAAATGTAGCTTTTAACCATAGTTCGTCGTCATTTAATTTCACTTTAAATCAATAATGAAAGACGAACAAATATTTTAAAAGGGCATGACGTTTTTAAGCAGAGTAATTCTAACTTGGTATGAAATAATACTGTATTTGTAAGGGACAGGGGTTTAAGTTGAGCTCCGCAATGTTTTGCAGACAAAAAAAAGACAAGGACTGTTCACAATGCATTCGGTATGAACATTATACTTTCTTGTTACAAGAGTTGCTTATACTTCCTTGTTACAAGAGCTGTTTACGGACATGGCTAATACCAACGTCCTTGGCATTGCAGTTGAATGAATACTGTTATTAAGGGATTTCAGGGATAAAGTTTCCAATTAATGCAAATTAATTCTGGTCCCCTCTCCTTTCAATCTTTTAGTTTTAGTAGAGATTTTACGGCGCTCGCAACTGCATAAAGGCATATGAGCACCAGAAGATTAGTGGTGTTACAAGAGAGTAACAAACACAAAAAAGAAGGAGGGGAGATAAGGACGATAGATGTTTGATAGGAAAGAAGACGCAAACCACACCAGAGCACCCGCCAACCACCCACCATGGGGTTGAGTCAGATCTAGCAAACAATGAAATTTTCTCTCTTTGGTTCACGATCGTTTGAAATCTATACATAATATTATATTTAGTGAAACTTCGTCACTTTCGCCGCCTAAAACTTCCGAACCACTTAACTTTTTAATTTGAAAAATTAACAGTTGTTCAGAATCATTTAAAGGGTGCAAAGTTTTACTGGGGAGTCTGGAGTCACTGTAGTTTAATTTTCAGTTTTTTTAAATTAGTTTCGTTTAGATCTAATCTTGGGAAAGTCCGTCTTCTAAGACGCCATTGTAAACATATTATGAGGTTTCTGGGGTGTTCAACCACGAAAGCGAATAGAGAATCAATCTATACATCGCTATATCTAAACCTTCTAATTTTTGGCATCTCTCAGGATTTACTGCTCCATTCCAGTAAATTGTAAATATAGTGCGCCAATGACTTTCAGTTGATGTTAATGCATCAACCATTCCTTTCATCGAATGGGGGTCCTGCTAGTTCCAAATAATGCTGTAACAAAATAATAATAATAATAATAATAATAATAATAATAATAATCATAATAATAATAATAATAATCCTCATCATCATCATCATCATCATCATCATCATCATCATCATCATCATCATCATAATAATAATACAGAACATAACGGTACCCTAACTTGAGCAACAAATTACAACGCCGTTATTTAAACAAATATTGCTGGCCTTTTGAGTAGAGTCTTTATTCGTTTGTTTTTTTAGACATTGGGCGAGGGGGGTGGGGGACAGGTTCTCATTTTCTTAAAACTGATGACTCAGACCGAGTCACACTAATTTATCATTATGTGTGTTCAAGTCATTTTTATATAGACTATACGAGGAATTTTTGGGACACCTGAATAGACAAGGGTCTTGAACATCTAGCTCTCTCTGGCACAATTGAAGGCAAACGAGGCAGGGGTAGGCCCAGAGCAATCTGCTTGGGGAACCTAAAAAAAATGGGTAACAGGGAAAGATAAGGGAAAGGTAGCTTTTTTGAGAGCATCCGAGCATAGGAATGAATGGAGAACCTTGATCGCCGATGTCTGTCGCAGATCTGGCACTGGATGATGATGATGATGATGATGATGATGATGATGATGATGATGATGATAATGATGATACGAGTAAATTTAGATAATACGCTTGGAAGCAAATTCTTTTGCTCTCAGTCAGACTTTAGCCTGGAGGTTAGCGCAGTGTCAAAAATAATCTTCGAGTGTTTTCGTTTTCGTAAGAGTTTTCCAGCACTTGTAACCCAATTAGGTCATATAAGCGCCGAAGATTGGGTGTGCTACAAGGGAGTAACAAACACAAAATAGAAGGAGGGGGGATAAGGAAGGTAGACGTTTGATAGGAAAGAAAAAAGCAAATCTGCGCAAATCCCCAAGCGAGGAAGCATGGAGCACCCCGTCTTCCAAAGACCCCAGTTCTACATGCAAGTATTCAAGTAATCAAGTATTCAAGTAAGTAGCAAATCACACCAGAGCAGCACCCTCCAACCACCCACTTCCTCGAGTCTGACGTCATAGAATTGACTCATCGACCTTGGCCTTGGTTTTGACCTTGGCCTTGACCTTGGCTCTGGCTTGAGGCGCTCTGAACAGCCGCTCCAAAAGGATTCCCGCCACCACTTCCGGTTTGCCCATTTTTTGGAGTGGGATCGCTGTAGCTGTAAGCTGGGGGTGGGGCAGTGGGCGTGGCGTAGGCGAAAGGCGGGGCCATGGGCCTGGCGTAGGCGGGAGGGCCGCTCGAGTTGAAGTAGGCGGGGTTGTAGTTGTAGGCGTAGCCGGCGGGCAACGGGTGGGATCCGGGCTGGCTGGCGTAGTGGCCTAAGTGGAGGAAGGATGGGGG